GGTGATTCCGAGGCCTGCAAGCGTCAAGCAGGTATACCTTGAAGTCTTTGAAACGTCTAAATCAACTCACTAGCGTCTGACACGGGCAGAAGTACCTGGATCTGTACAAAATATGTAGAAGCGTAGCATGAGTAGACCACAGTAGTACCCAGTAAGTATCAAGCCTAACCTCGGTGGAGTAGTGACGAGGTCAGGTCAAGACACCTACTAGACATAGAAACCTGAACAAAAAAGCAGATTATCAATAAAAGGTTAACAACAGAAGTAAAAGCAATAGAACAACAACAAAGAGTGAACATATGATAAAAACAACAAATGCATAAATACAGTCTAATTACAAGTGAAATAAATTAAAGAAAAATCATTAACTATTCAAATTAACAAGCCGTTCCAACATAGGATGTACAACAAGAATCACACTGAGGTACCGCACCTCATGTTCACATTTCACAAGTCACAATTACAATCTTCCTTATACCGCCGCGTGAGCCTTGCATTTATTTTTAAAAACAATTTCCTGAAATAGATTCACGCTCTTTATCCCTCTTATATCGCCTGTGTGGCTTATAGTAATTTTCTTTACTAGCAACACGCGTATAAATCCCATCTTATCTTGCCACATGCGCATCAATATCACCACACTTATACCGCCGCATGCGCATCACATCGCAACACAATAATCAACTTGTACTACACGTGCTCATATGCCACAATATTGCCAAACAAGAATACCAATATCACCACAACACATAGCCCACGGCTCAACCATAATGTGTACAAGAATCTCAATAACAATAAAATAAATGGAAAATAACTCAACAATGGAAGGTATTCCATAAACAACAACTTCAATTAAAACATGTTAATAGCTCTCAATAACTACAACTTCAATAAACTCTACAATGAAGATATTTTCATGAAATGTCAACTTCAATTCAAATGCATAACATAAGCTCAACAATAAAAGAGATAGCATGTAACATCAACTACGACTAAATGCATGAGAATAACTCAACAATTAAAGAGATAGAATATAATAACAACTACAACTAAATGCATATAAGAATAACCTCGACAATAAAAAATAGAACATGTAATAACAATTGCAATTAAAGCATATAAGAATAAAGTTGACAACAAAAGATAGAACAAACAATAACAACTTCAATTAAATGCTTATAAGTAACCTAAGAGTCTAAACTGGTTAATTTTCACAACTCATCAACTCATGTACATGTCTTCCACATAATTCAAATAGTACAATTAAACCCAAATCCTAAGGGGTAATTTTCCCACACAAAGTTAGGGAAGATACTTAATTACCTCAGCTAGGCCACATCAACACTCAAAAATGGCCTTTTCCTCAGAATTCACCCTTGCGTGGCTCAAATCTAACAAAAAATGACTTAATATCATCAAACAATGCAAGAGAAACTAAATTCGATTAATAAAGCTAAGATCTTTACACAATTTCTCAAAAGTCAACAAAAGTCAACCTCGGGCTCGCTAGGTCAAAACTCGAGTCCAAGGGTATATCTCGACTATCCATAATTTTACGAGTCCATATATGTATTTTGTTTTCAAATCCGAGTCCAATTCGAATCTCAAATCTCAAATTTTAACTTTTTCAAAACATAGCCAAAATTTCTCTTCCAATTCCATGGATTAGAGGTTAAATACAAATAATCATGTAATATAATTAAAATTGATCAAAATCACTTACCCAATAGTTGTATAGTAAAATCCCTCCTAAAAATCACCTCCTACCGAGCCTAGGGATCAAAAATATGAAAATGAGACTAAGTGCTATTTTTCCAGCACTTTTGTTCAGGTGAAGGAGTCGCAATTGCGACCCTGGGTTCGCAATTGTGAACTCTCGCAAATACGAACAATAACTGCAAATGCAGCACCTGACAGCCCAGGGAAATGTTGCAAATGCGACACTGATTTCGCATTTGCGAAGTTTGTCCCTTCCGCAAATGCGACCAAATGGTCGCAAATGCCACATTACGCAGCCCCAGCCTTTCTTCGCAATTGCGAATAAGGTACTTAATTACCTCAACTAGGCCACATCAACATTCAAAAATGGCTTTTTCCTTAAAAATCGCCTCTGCGTGGCTCAAATCTAACAAAAAATGACTTAATATCATCAAATAATGCAAGAGAAACTAAATTCGATTAACAAAGCTAAGATCTTTACACAATTTCTTAAAAGTAAACAAAAGTCAACCTCAGGCCCACTCGGTCAAAACTCGAGTCCAAGGGTAGATCTCGACTATCCATAATTTCACGAGTCCATATATGTTTTTTATTTTCAAATCTGAGTCCAATTCGACTCTCAAATCTCAAATTTTAACTTTTTCAAAACATAGCCAAAATTTCTCTTCAAATTCCATGGATTAGAGGTTAAATACAAATAATCATGTAATATAATTAAAAATTGATCAAAACTACTTACCCAATAGTTGTATGGTAAAATCCCTCCTCAAAATCGCCTCCTACCGAGCCTAGGGTTCAAAAATGTAAAAATGAGACTAAGTCCCATCTTTCCAAACCTTTTGTTCAGGTGCAGAAGTCGCAACTGTGACCCTGGGTTTTCAATTGTGAACCCTTGCAAATACGAACAATAACTGCAAATGCAGCGCCTGACAGTCCAGGGAAATGTTGCAAATGCGACACTGATTTCACATTTGTGAAGTTTGTCCCTTCCGCAAATGCGACCAAATGGTCGCAAATGCCACCTTACACAGCCCAAGCCTTTCTTCGTAATTGCGAATAAGGTATCGCCAATGCAATAGCTGAGCCCTCCCAGCCTACTTTGCAATTGTGATGTTGGTGCTCGCAATTGCGATAAATGAAGCACCAGCACACCAACAACCTAAAAATGAGTTCAAACCAATCCGAAACACATCTGAAGCTCACCAGAGCACTCGGGGCTCCACACCAAACATCCACACAACTCTAGAAAGATCATACGAATTCGATCGCGCGATCAAAACTCGAAACGAACATCCGGAACCACGAATAGGAAATCAAACTGCATGAAATTCAAAAGAAAACACAAGAATCTCTAGAATCACAACCAAGCGTTTGAATCCTTTCAAACCAACTCGAAATGATACCAAATTTTGCAGACAAGTTCCAAATAGTAAAACGGACCTATTCCAAGTCCCAAAACCAAATTCCAAACCCGATAGCCCTGAAGTCAACCTACGGTCAAACCTAAGTTAAACATATAGACCTCCGAAATCAATTTCGGGCATACGCCCAAGTCCAAAACCATAATACGAACCTATCGGAGCTATCAAAATATCATTTCGGAATCGTTTTCACAAAAGTCAAACCTAGGTCAATATTTCCAACTTAAATTTCTAAACCAAGAACCAAAGGGTCTAACTCATTCTAAAACTTCCTCGAAACAAAATCAGCCATCCCCGCAAATTATAAAATAATAAATACACATACGGATAGTTTTAAAAGGGGAAACAGGGTTCAAATATACAAAACGATCGATCGGGTCGTTACAAGTTTCTCTGGTTTCTCTCATGAACTACGATTTTAAACCATAAACCTACAATTGAGAAAATTTAACAATTGAACTACTAGTTGAACTCTGATTCAAAATCTAATCATCTATTTGGTCTTATTAGATTATGAATAACCCGAAAATGTATTTGATATTAGGATTTGATTCCGTTGACCAATGGTTGACTTTAATTTTGACCAAAGTTTAAATTTAGGAAAATGAGTCTAATGGATTGGTTTAACATACTTTTGCATGGATCTGGGTCATTTGAAGGTGATAAGATTCGGGAAAGCTATTTGGGAGCAGTGAGATTATCTTAGGTCGAGGTAAGTGATGATTTTGGCCTCTTTAACTCTTTTTGCAAGGATAAGCACATTAGGTATATGTTATGTATATGAGGGTCACTGTGTTTGTGAGATGACAAGCATATACGTGAGAAGTGAGATATAAATTGGGTGGTATATGACGGTGAATGTGCACATATTGTATATGCTAGTACAATATTATACATATATTATATATATTTGTATAAAGTTATAAATTATATGTATGTTATGATACATGACTTGCGCTACCAGTGGGCATGTTGTGACACATGACTCAGAATTTATTTATCGAGCATTTTGGTGTTCCATGTCTCAGGAGTAAGGGATGAGCATGATGTCACTTCACTGCTCGGGTGCATGTGTAAGGGATTCTCCCTCATGAGTCACTGACCATAGACGACTCTATGGAAAGCATATACACAAGTTTATTGCATGTTTACATATTATACATTTTTGCATCTTACATATGGCTATGTGTTTTATATATATGTGGTATTATTTTTTTATATAGCATGAGTCTTGCGACAATCATTAGGTGATGGTCAATAGACTTACTGGTTATAGATTCATATCCAAGTACCAACAAACCGCGCGACTATTTGTAATCCAGTTGATGACATTTCAGCAGTGAGCCAATCAATCTAGTTTTGTGGTCATTAAGAGTGTAAATGCTATTATTTTCGTTTTAATTTGTTGAGCTAGGTCACATCAAACTCTTAGATGCTCTTGACTTTGTGCATATGCTTAAAGCTATTCAGTGTGTGATGTACTTGAGTACGAAGTTTCAGCTGTGGATTAGATTATTACTTTGTGTTTATTGGATTATGTATCAATGTTACTAATATTAAGATTTAAATAGTTGGGGTATTGGTAAAGGATATGGGACCTATTTAAATAAAAAAGGAATAAAGAAAAGAAAGAGAAAATAATTTAGAAAAGAAAAAGCAAAAGAAAGGCAAGTTGAAATTAAAGGTCAAGCATTGTAGGCGGACAAGGAATGCACTGTCAAGCAATTATGGGCGTATGTGAGCAATTTGCATTTTGTAATTGCAAAAGTCAAATTTGATCGGCGGAATCGAGCGAATCCTTCCCTTATAAATCAAGGCATTCAGCTTCATCTCAAATACACCAAAAATAAGAGAGAAGTATTAGAGTTGTGAGAGTAATCCACAAACTGTTTTATAGTCTGTGAGAAAATAGAGTGGGAGTAATATTGTGGTGAGATATTTAAGACAAAGAGTGTTATTTCTTTTGAGTCATAATAGTCTTTTGACACTACAAAGTTATAATATTATAGTGATATTATATTGCTCCTCTCAGGTATTGTATTTTACCCCGTTAAAAGATTTGGTATCATTGTTACTCTCTTGTTTCATTATTATTTATCGTGGATATTATTTCTAGGCGGGATATTATTTTTCCCCAACAAAGGATTGTTCATTTGGCAGAGGGATTGCCCGGGTGCTGTCATAGACTTTAGGAATATTTTAGATAGTGACACACTTGGTATCGAAGCCTAGGTATAAATTCCTATGAGTATCAATACAGACTTGTTTATGAGAATGTACATGTCCTCACTTCTAAGCGATAGGCTATTGAGGCTTTTAGAAAAATTTCCATTGTTTCATTCTTTTATAGTATGATAGGCTCAAGCAAGTAATTTAACTCGTCCTGTATTATATCCCACATTTGGTGAGAAATCGATCCGCTACTCAAATTGAACTAAACATTTCACCTGAGATGCAGGAAGCACCGAGTAGGAAGGGCAAGCGCAGGAGATAGACCATGACATAGATAGCTGCACAACGTAGGGCTAGAGCCACCACTGCTACCAGGTTCATAGTCAAGCTACTAGACCTGCTTCAGTTTCTCAACATGAAATTATATAGATTTATCAAGTCCCACAATACGTTCGAGACGATTTCATAGCTTCCAGTAATATAGGACACTCTAGTTCATTATTTGAGTGTCCTGGAGACCCTTACTCCTCGACCAGATGGTGTGTTGTTACTCCAAAAGCTTCTCATACCCTAGTTGGGCAAGTGGAAAGTTTTGGACCATGCATACCCTGGTGCAGTAAGATTCACACATTTATCAGACTCTCGTTCTATAAGCAGTAGTGGGTACACTATGAGGTTTTCAACTTGTTTCCCCGAATGCAAAGAATACTTCTAGGCTATAAGCTTTCCTGAAGCTGAAGCCCCCAAATGTTGTGAGCTTTGATACATCTTATAACGACCCGATCGGTCATTTTATGTAATTGCACCGCATTACCCCTTTTATTGCTTCACCCTTGTGTGTTAATGTCTTTATGACTTGCGGGGTTGATTAGTTTTATTCCGGAAAGCTTTCGGGTTGATTTGGACCCTTGATTCTAGACTTAGAAGCTTTAATATAAAAATGTTGACCAAACTTTGACTTTTGTGCAAACGATCATGGAACTGTATTTTTATGACTCTGATAGCTATGTATCGTGATTTCAAACTTGCACGTATGCCCGAAACTGATTTTGGAAGTCCATAGGTTGATTTGTGTTGATTTACCGAAATTTGGCAATTTTTAAGTTGAAAAGTTTGACCGTAGGTTGAATTTTAGCTATTGAGCTCGGAATTTAATTTTAGGACTTGGAATAGGTCCGTTATGACATTTAAAACTTGTCTGCAAAATTTGGCGTCGTTCGGAGTTGATTTGATAGAATTCGGATGCTTAGTTGAAATTTAGAAGTTCTTGAATATCTCTTTGAAAATCATGCATTTTTGAGTTCAATTCGTAGTTTTAGATGTTATTTTGGTGTTTTGATTGCGCGATTGAGTTTGTATGATATTTTTATACTTGTGTGAATATTTGGTTTGGAGCCTCGCGGGCTCGGGTGAGTTTCGGACGCTTAGCAGAGTGTTGTTGGAATTTAAAGTTGCTGGTTTTCTGCACAGGCTACAGATCTCGCATTTGCAAGGTGTGAGTTTGCATTTGCAAAGGTAGGCCAAGTCTCCTGGGTTCGCATTTGCGAAAGTTTCTGGGATGGGCTAGGTTCGCAATTGCGATGATTTTGTCGCAATTACGAGGGCAATAGTGGTCACAAATGTGATCTAATATTCACATTTGCGAAGAGTTTCCCTAAGCTTCAGTTCCGCAATTGCGAGGCTTTATTCGCAATTGCGAACCCATGTCGCAATTGAGACATCTGCAACTGATCAAATAGGTGAGGGACGGGATTTTTGAGTTCATTCTCTCATTTTTAAACGCTAGACTCGGTAGGAGGCGATTTGGAGAGGGGATTTTCATCAACAAACCTTGAGTAGGTGATTCTAATCTACTTCTATTCATATTTCATCAACATATATTAGATTTTAACATTAAAGTCATGTGAATCAAAGTAGAAATTTATGAAACTTTGTTATTTTGAAAAAAATAAGAAATTGAGTTTGTGAGTCGATTTAGACGAGGATTTTGAAACTAATCACATATATGAACTCGTGGGGTCATGGGTAGATGGAATCTACCATTGGACCCAGGTTTTTACCGGGTGAGCCCCGTTTTGACTTTTGTTGGCCTTTTGAAAAAAGTGTAAAAATCTTAACTTTATCTAATTCAATTGAATTCCTTAGCATTGTTTGATGATATTGAGTCGATTTTGGTTAGATTTGAGCCGCATGGAGGCGGATTCTAACGGAAAAGCTATTTTCGAGTGTTGAATTGGCCTAGTTGAGGTAAGTGTCTTGCCTAACTTCGTGTGGGGGAACCACCCCTTAGGATTAGTATTGTTTGATTCAATTGTGCTAAGTAAAATCCGTGCACGCAGGGTGACTAGTGCATACATGGGTTATATGTACTATTTGACCAGTTTAGGCTACTTAGACTATTTCCATACTCTAATTGAAATGCCATATTATGTTCTATATTCTCATAGTCAAATCATCCTTAATTGTGTTAGATAATCCTTAAATGTCTTAGTTAACTTGTTTAGTATTTGTTCTACATCCTACTAGCTAAATTGCTCCTATGCTTTAATTGAACTTGTTGCCCCTTTATTGTCACATGTTATCTCTTCATTGTTAATTATCATTGTTTGAATTAATTGTTCATGTTGCCCCCTTTACTTGTTGACTCCCGTTATTTGAGATTCATTGTTGAAGATTATTTCCTCTATTGTGAGCTAGTCTTATCTAATATCGTGGTTATACATTATTTACTCATTGTTGAGTTATTTGGTGTTGAATTTGTGAAAGTCGTTAATACGTTGAGGCGATGTTGGTTATTGTTGAAACATCTATCTTATTGAGCATTTTCCATCCATTATTTTTGTTGGTATTCTTTTATACATTATGGTGGAGCCATGGGCTATTGTTGTGGAAATATTGATATTGTTGTTGTTGGCAAGATGTGATATGTGGGCACTTGTGTGCGAGTTGTTATTGTAATATAATGTTGATGCACATGCGGCAATATAAGGCTTAGGTTGATGTGCATGCGGGGCTATAAGGTGGGACTTATGTGCATGTTGCTTTTAGGGGAACTATGTGAAGCCACACGACGTCATAAGATGGGCTAAAGTGCGTGTAGCTATTTTGGAAAAACTATTTTCAAAACCTATTTTCAAAGGTAAGGCTCACGCGGCGGTATATGGAAAGATCGTGATTGAAATGTGAGGAAAGCGAATACGAGGCAGTATCTCGGTTGTGATTCTTGATTATATGAGGCGGTACCTTGGTTTTGATTTCATTGTACACGAGGCGGTACCTCGATGTGATTCTTGCTGTTATTTTACGTTGCAAAGTGTTTTGGTGGGAAATATATATGTTGTTTCATTCCTTAGTGTTCTATCAGTTGTTGTCCATACATGATCATTATAGTCCTTTAGTTGCTTCTTTTATGCTATTTCTACTCTTGATTTTCCAGTATTAGATCATGCTATAATCTTGTTCCGTATTAGTTGCTTTCTTACTTTTAATTTTGTATCCCTATTTCATTTTATATTGTCTATCTCATATCCTAGTAGGTGTCTTGACCTGGCCTCGTCACTACTCTATTGAGGTTAGGCTTGATGCTTACTGGGTACCATTGTGGTGTACTCATACTATGCATCTGTATATCGTTTTGTGCAGATCCAGGTATGTCCGCTCGTGCCGGTAGATAGAGATTTTCCTACTAGCTGCATTGACCGGAGACTTCAAGCTATGCCTGCTCGGCATCCGAAGGCCTCAGAGTCCCTTTCCCTTATTCTTAGTTACTGTTGTATTTTCTCGCAAATAGTGATGTATCAGATGTATTAGTTATTCCATAGTGCGTATGACTCTATTCCATAATTCTTGGGAATTGTATGGTTGAGATTTTGCTTTTTAGTATTTAAATGAGTTTATCAAATTGGGTTGATTATTTTGTTATTTACATTTGTTTAATTCTTGTAAAATATAAGGCTTACCTAGTCGTAGAGATTAGGTGCCATCACGACTTCCTACAGAGGAAAAATGAGGTCATGACAAGTTGGTATCAGAGCGCTAGGTTCATAGGTGTTACGAGTCATAAGCACGTTTAATAGAGCTTTGCAGATTGGTACGGAGACGTCTGTACTTATCTTCGAGAGGCTACGAAACTATTCAGAAAACTTCACTTCTTTGATTCCTTACCGTGCGAATTGGTTGATTTCGAAAACTAAATCTTTGACTTTCTATTCTCTCATACATAGTGAGGACACGTACCGCAAGATCCGACGATCAGACGCCCGCGCCCCCTACTAGAGCCGCGAGAGGCCGTGGACGGGTACGTGGTGTAGCCAGAGCACCTGCTCGAGCTGCGATAGAGGAGCCACCAGTAGCTCCAGTCGGGGGTCAGACACCTGAGGCACCTATTTCTGTCCACCACTTTAGGAGACCCTTGCATAGTTCTTGAGCATGTTCAGTACCTTAGCTCAGGCGGGGTTGATCCCACTTGCACCAGCCACATCTCATGCTGGGGGAGGAGCACAGACTCCCGCAGCCGGTACCCCAAAGCAGCAGGTCCAGGTTGATCAGGTCCTAGAGGTTATACCGGTATAGCATGTTGCTCCAGTTCAGCCTGTGGGTAGGGCAGGGGCATCTGAGGAGGAGCAGCTCAGGCTCGAGAGGTTTAAGAAGTACCACCCTCCTACTTTCGGTAGTTTGGCTTCAGAGGATGCACATAGTTTTCTTGAGGAGTGTCACCGTATTATCCACACTATGGGCATTGTGGAGAGAAGTGGGGTTGCTTTTACTATGGTCTAGCTGAAGGGAGTGGCATATCAGTGGTGGCGGGCGTACGAGGTGGGTAGCCTAGCCGAGGCGGCTTCACTTACATGGGATCGGTTTTTAGATTTTTTCTTGAGAGAGTTTGTTCCTCAGACCCTTCAGGATACTTGGCGCGCGGAGTTTGAGCGATTGCACCAAGGTGCCATGTCAGTGTCGAAGTATGATGTCTGATTTAGTGATTTGTCTAGGCATGCACTAGCCTTGGTTGCTACGGTTAGAGAGCGAGTCCGTCGATTCATCGAAGGACTCAACCAAAGTATTAGATTCAGCATGGCTAGGGAGTTGGAGTCACACACTCTGTATCAGCAGGTGGTTGAGATTGCACTGAGGTTGGAGGGTATGCAAGACCGTGATAGAGAGGATACAGAGGCTAATTAGCCTCGTGGCATAAGGGTATTTAGTTGTGGTCACGCTGCAACTTCAGCTCGTCATGGTAGGGGCTGTGTGAGCCGCCCAGTTCATTCAGCACTTCTAGCTTCTAGTGGTGCTCCGGTTGTATCGAGGTCCAAGGTTACACACTTTGCTGAGCCACTTTCTAGTGCACCTCCTGCACGGGGTGCCTTCAGCGGTCAGTCCAGCTGACTAGGCCTGAGCTAGTCCGAGCCACCACACTCACCGAGAGCTTGTTTTGAGTGTGGTGATACCCGCCACATGGTCATAGACTGCCCCAGACTCAGTAGGGATGTACCTTCCCAGACTATGCAGGCTCCACGGATTCAGTCAGGTCCGTAGACTTCTCAGGCTATGATTGTTGTCCCAGTTGCCGCTCCACCCGCTCAGCCATCTAGGGGTGGGGGACGGGTGGGTAGAGGTCACCCTAGAGGGAGGCCAGACCAAATTATATGCTCTTCCAAGTAGGACAAAGGCAGTTGCTTCAGACTTAGTCATTACAGGTATGGTTCCGGTTTGCCATAAAGATTCATCAGTCTTAAATGATCCAGGATCCACTTATTCATATGTGTTGTCTTACTTTGCTCCATATTCGGATATATCGCGTGATTCCTTGAGTTCTCTTGTTTTTGTGTCTACACCTATGAGAGATTCTATTATTGTGGACCGTGTGTATCAGTAGTGTCTAGTTGCTATTTGTGGTTTTGAGACCAGAGTTGATCTGTTGTTACTTAGTATAGTAGACTTTGATGTTATATTGGGCATGGACTGGTTTTCGCCCTATAATACTATTCTTGATTGTCACGCCAAGACTGTGACGCTGGCCATGCTAGGTTTACCATAGTTAAAGTGGAGGGGTGCATTAGATTATATTCCTAGTAGGGTTATATTATTTCTAAAGGCTCAATGGATGGTTGAGAAGGGGTGTAATGATTATCTAGCCTTTGTGAGGGATGTCAGTGCTGACACTCCTACCGTTGAGTCTGTTCCAGTAGTGAGAGTCTTTCCAGATGTATTCCCAATAAACCTTTCGAGTATGCTGCCCGACAGGGATATCAGTTTTGCTATTGACTTATTACCGGGTACTCAGCCCATTTCTATTCCACCATATCGTATGGCCCCAACAGAGTTGAATGAGTGAAAGGAGCAGTTACAAGAGTCGCTTAATAAGGGATCCATTCGGCCTAGTATGTCACTGTGGGGTACTCCGGTCTTGTTTGTGAAGAAGAATGGTGGATCTATGCGTATGTGTATTGATTATCGTCAGTTGAACAAGGTTACAGTGAAGAACATATATCCATTGCCACACATTGATGACCTATTTGATCTGCTACAAGGTGCCAGAGTGTTCTCCAAGATTGATTTGCAGTCAGGTTATCATCAGTTGAAGATTCGAGATCCTGATATTCCGAAGACAACCTTTAGGACTTGGTATGGTCACTACGAGTTTCTCGTGATGTCATTTGGGCTGACCAATTCCCCAACAACAGTTATGCACCTGATGAATAGTGTATTCCGGCCTTATCTTGGTTCATTCATCACTGTGTTTATTGACGACATCTTGGTATACTCTCGCAGCTGGGAAGATCATGAGCAACATTTGAGGATCGTGCTCCATACCTTTAAGGAGAAGAAGTTTATGCAAAATTTTCAAAGTGTGAATTCTGGCTCGATTTGGTGGCGTTTTTGGGTCATGTGGTGTCAAGTGAGGGGATCAAGGTAGATCCGAAGAAGATTGAGGCAGTGTAGGGTTGGCCCAGATAGTTTTCAATTATTGACTTCCGTAGTTTCCTTAGTTTGGCCGGGTATTATCATCATTTCTTGGAGGGTTTCTCATATATTGCTGCACCTATGACCAGATTGACCCAGAAGGAGTGTGAGGCGAGCTTTCAAAAGCTTAAGACTACTTTGACCATAGCGCCAATGTTGGTGTTGCCTACGGGCTCGGGGTCTCATACTGTATATTGTGATGCATTACGTGTTAGCCTTGGTGCAGTTTTGATGCAAGACAGTAGGATAAGTGCCTATGCGTCTCGACAGTTGAAGACTCATGAAAAGAATTATCCAGTCCACGATTTGGAGTTGGCAGCCATTGTGCATGCATTGAAGATCTGGCGGTGTTATTTGTATGGTGTTCTTTGTGAGGTATTTACCAACCACCAGAGTCTACAACATCTGTTAAAACAAAAGGATCTTAACTTGCAGCAGCGGGGGTGATTAGAGTTACTTAAGGACAATGATATCACCATTCTATATCATCCTAGGAAGGCCAATGTGGTGGCCGATGCCTTGAGTCGAACGGCGTAGAGCTTGGGCAGCTTAGCATATCTATCAGTAGCAGAGAGGCCATTAGCATTGGAGGTTTAGGCCCTAGCCAACTAGTTTGTTAGATTGGATGTTTCGGAGCCAAGTCGAGTATTGCATTGTGTGGTTTCTCGGTCTTCCCTATATGATCATATCAGAGAGTGTCAATATGACGATCCCCATTTGCTTGTCCTCAAGGACACGGTTCAGCATGGCGATGCCAATGACGTCCCTAACGGGGATGACGGTGTGTTACGGATGCAGAGCAGGCAATGTGTGCACATTGTAGATGGGTTTCATGAGTTGATTCTTCAGGAGGCTCACAATTCGCGGTACTTCATTCATCCGGGTGCTGCTAAGATGTATCAAGACTTGAGGCATCACCATTGATGGACGAGGAAGAAGAAAGACATAGTGGAGTATGTAGCTCAGTACCTAAATTGTCAGCAGGTGAAGTATGAGCATCAGCGGCTAGGTGGATTGCTTTAGAGGTTAAAGATCCAGAGTGGAAATAGGAGCGAGTTACTATGGATTTTGTTGTTGGGATCCCACGGACTCAGAGTAAGTTCGATACAGTATGGGTGATTGTGGATAGGTTGACCAAGTAGGCTCATTTCATTCCAGTTGTGACTACTCACACTTCAGAGTAAATAGCTCAGGTTTATATTCGCGAGATCGTCAGACTTCATGGCATGCCGGTATCCATCATCTTTGACCGGGGAATGCAGTTTACATCGCGGTTCTAGAGGGCAGTACAGCATGAGTTAGGTGCACGGGTAGAGTTGAGTACAACATTTCACCCTCAGACAGACAAACAATCCGAGCGCACTATTCAAATATTAGAGGATATGCTCTGTGCGTGTATGATGGAGTTTGGGGGTTCTTGGGATCAGTTCTTGTTGCTCGCGGAGTTTGCCTACAACAACAGCTACGGATTCACACAGCCCAATCTAGACAAGGGAGTTATGCGGATAGGAGGGTTCATGACATTGCATTCATGGTTAGGGAGTGGGTCTTGCTCCGGATTTTGCCCATGAAGGATGTTATGAGGTTCGGGAAGATCGGCAAGGTGAGCCCTAGGTATATCAGACCTTTTGAGATTCTTGAGAGGATTGGAGAGGTGGACTACAAGCTTGCACTACCGCCTAGTCTAGCTACAGTTCATCCAGATTCCATGTTTCTATGCTCCAGAAGTATCACGGTGATCTGTCTCATGTGTTAGACTTTAGCTCAGTCCAGTTGGACTAGGATTTGTTTTATGTTGAGGAGCCGGTGGCCATCTTGGACCAGCAGGTCTGGAAGTTGAGGTCAAAGGATATTGCTTCAGTGAAGGTTGAATGGAGGGGTCATCCAGTCAAGGAGTAGACTTGGGAGACCGAGCACGAC